ACTTCATCCATACCCGGCTCCTGCACACTCGATGAAAGGGTGCATCGAACGTCTGACCGGTACAACCGTCCACTCGACTAAAGTATGGATGGCCTTGAGGAGGCGCGACACGACTGACGTATGAGATCGAGGAGTGGAGAATCGATTTCACACCCACAGTGGCAAGAATACCAATTAGAACCACTCCAAGCAATCCCGAGGCTCTGCTGATTTCGGAAAGGGTTGATAGAGTTTGTCAAGGGAACGGACGTGGGCTCAGCCATGGTAAAGCATTGGGGAGTATCTTTTTCATAATCCTCTCGTTAGGATACTGACACCCGACCTGCACCCGACCGAATGGCCACTTGGGTACAGCACTGGATAGCAGTGTCGAGTATGACCCGGGTTTGTATCCAAGTGATCATTCGAGTCTGAATTCATGGAACCGAGTCCGTGCACAAGTACCTATGACCACAGGTCGCCCAGAGCAAGTAATATTCGAAGTCAATAGGGAGGAAATAGAGCAATGCGATTTGAAGTGCAGTCAATAGAATGTGTTCCACTAGCGGACCCCTGCGGGGTACGAACAACCTTGCTTGTTGAAGTGCAGTCAATAGAATGTGTTCCAATAGGACAACCGTTCTTCACTAACAGCGGTAAAAGCAGATGTCTCAGAGATGGGAGATAACAAACTCACCAGATGAGATCTTCACGTTGGGTTGAGATGTAACTTATACCCTGATGGAGGAGTGGTCGATAAACCGTCAGCGGTTGGCTGCATAACAGCTGAGCTTCTCGTTCATTTAAGGACTGTCCCCCGCATAAGATTCCGACGTAATTCACCAGAGTCGAGGAACTCATTGTGAGTCTTTGAGAGTAGTGCGATTGCTTGAGGTGCTGAAATACAACTGTCTACAAGTTACCGTTCTAGAATCCAATGCGTCCGAGTCCGTTAATGGCCATTAGGTACGGAACGAATGAGCACCGTGTGTTCCTCCAAGTGAAATTCTACGTAGACGAACATTTCTCCAGCCTCAGCAGGTCCTGATAATGGATTTACAGGTCAGTGAGTGGGAACAGAGAAGGCCTTTGTCGATGGCATTGACACTGCACTCTACCGCACTGTTTGGCAAAGTCCACAATTCGACCTCTGATAATTTTGGCAGGGCTGACTATTTTCTTGGAAGTTCTCCGGGCAGATGAAGGAGAAGTTTCTTAGCCCTCCGCTTGTCATGGCGATGTTCTGGATTTGGGGAACCTAGTGGCACCCATCTCGTTCAAAGTTCAAGCAATTCAGCGTATTAAAAATGTTGCAAATATACAACGTCCTTGGACAAGTCATGTTGATATCAATACGTCTATCTCTGTAGATTTTTTTGCATACTGTGTATAGCTACTCTCGATGTTCAGTCTCGTGTATTCGATCTTGAGGCTTAGCTGACATTGAGAGTGCTGATAAAAGTGACCTCAAATATTCCCACACCACTTTCTTTCTCTTTTTAACGCATATGCCGCTCAAGCTCAAAGGCGCATCGACGCCTCCAACAGAACCCTTTTCCTGGGATGCTCTACCTTCTCCGTCTCCTCCTCCATCTGAGATCTCCGCTGTAACTGAACCTACAACAGTATGGCTTCCAGCGCGGGACATGAAGCTGTTTGGTGCTCGACCACTATCATCAACATCTGAAATTGGTGTAATGAGATGTAAGGATTGTGATAAGCCAGTACTCAAGAGTGCTGTCTCTGAGCATGCCGGTGTGTAATACGCCCGATTTGCTTGAAATTTGAACGATATGGGGTTCCACTTAGCCAATTGCGCCCAAATCCGGAACATCGCCATGATAGCTCAAGCGAAGAAACGAAAAGCTTCTCCTTCATCTGCTTCGCTTCCCGGTGAACCCTCTTCGAAGAAGGCGAAAAAGTCAGCCCTGCCCAAGATTACCAAAGGTCGAATGAAAGGTCCTGTGGACTTTGACAAGCAATGCGGCGTCATAAACGACAAAGGCCTACCCTGTTCCCGCTCGCTAACCTGTAAATCTCATGCTATGGGTGCTAAACGCGCAGTCCAAGGCCGCAGTAGGCCTTATGATGATCTTCTGTTGGATTGGCAGCGCGAACATAACCCGAATTTCGTAGAGCCTGTGAAGAGAGAGACAAAGAAGGAGAAGAAGGAGAAAAAAGACCGGGAGAAGGCAGAGAAGAAGAGGGCCATCGAGGAAGCTGCAGTTCGACTTGGATATGATCCGAGTAGTAAAGAGGGAAGAAAGGCGGGTGCTGCTGCTACTGGACATACCATCACTACATCGTCCAAGCATGGATCATCTAAGCGGCAGACAGCTGCAGCTGCCGCATCCTCTGCCCACACACTCGATGATGCCGATAATGAAAATTATGATGACCTGGATTCCGAGGCCGAAGTGGACGATCTCGCTGGTGCTGTGAGACAGGCCAGAACTCTAGGAGTCATCGCACAACCACTGGCAGTTCCTGTTGATGCTGGGAGTTGGTTTGTGGAGAGGAGAGAGAGGTTTAGGTTGGCGTACCATATGATTGGTGTCGCGCTAAACCCGACCAAGATGTCGTCTAGGCGAACTTTCACTTAAGAACCATCCATGCGGTTTGCATAATTTTTTACGACCCTGGAACGAATTGGATTACAGGACGGTAACTTATTAACAATTGTATTCCAGTACTACAGACAATTACACTACGCTCAATGAGTCCCTCGACTCTCACGAACGCCCTCACCCCTCCTCTGCCTAACGATATTCATGTTGTCCCATCCAGGTCCGTGAACCCCTCTAGAAGAATTTTGATGAAAGTTCGCCTGTGGCACGGCGCCTCGCTGGTTTCCCCTCATAGAGGAGCAGTTTCCGGTCTAGAGTAGATTCAGGTAAGATTGCTCCAAAAGAATACGAATCGTAAGTAGTGATCGGAATGCATGCAAATGATTCTAAGGACATCCACTCGAGTTGTCCCCGGGTCAATCCCGTAGGTCGATGCAGCGGCAGCTAATCATATCCCTCAGTCCCATTTCACACTCTTCCCAAGCAGCTCCTTCACATCCCACTTCCCCTTATACTCCGCAGGCTCCATCACAGCTGTACTTAGTACATAGTTCCCCCCGCTCTTGGCTCCGAAATGGTGGCCTGCGGCGGTTAAAACAACTCTCTCTCTCTCTCTCTCCATCACAGCTGAATACAAATCATGCAAAGCATCTTGATTTTTAGGATCCGGCATGTACTTGATACTCGGGTTGTCCAGTATCCAATGTTCCACTTGAGTGTATACCTGGAGTTCATTAACCCCACTATATGTCTCCCCATATATTTCTCCAGTACTCATACTCATTCCATGACCCAAAACCTCCCCTTTTGATCTAACCGTCGCAAAATTCAAAGTCCCCAGAAAAAGACCAGGAGAGTTCGTCTTGTGCACACATTCCACGAGTTTCCATCTCGGTAAAACGTCACCATTTAATTGTTCCGTTGGCATGGCCCTCAAGCCTTTGTTCTGGTTAAAGAGCAGAAGGAACTCATCGTTTGGACGAAGGATTGAGTTTTGTCCGCTTCCCTTGAGGCCGGCAAATGACCCGTTGGCCTCAAAGCTTCCACGCTTGATGTGAAGGTTTACTATCTCAGGATTGGCTATTATACCAGTTAAGAGCCTAGCTACTTTTTCGAGATATAGACTCAAGGCTTACCTCGCCGTTCAAGAAGACCTGCTGGATTTTTCAGAGCCTCGAACATCGGCAGGGGTGTAGCTATAATTCCAAGAACACTTGAAAGAATGACGAGGACAGCGAGTCGAAATGCGACAGTGTGCAGAAGAGTGACCATGATGATGCCAAACTGAAGAGAAAGCGATAAGAGAGGGAAGTACAGATTGATACAACTGTAGTTTGCAGTTTGCAGTAAGTTATATCAAGAGTGCAGAGCTAGGAGCCAAGATGGGTAAGAAAGAGATATACAACGTACCGAACCAGCGTTGTGTACTTGGTGAGTGAGTGTACGTGGGGGATTAATGACACAAAGAATTCCTGGTTTCGAGATTGCGAGTAATTATAGCCTGCCAAAGGGCTGAGCTGGGCTGAGATGCTGCTATGTAGAGACATTAGACTGATGTAGCCCCCGTCGGTTTTTCAGGGTTTCTCAGGAAGCTTCCATAACGAGCTTTGATGACACCAAAAAGATAAGGAAACTGAAGCGATGTAGAACTTGAGAATCGCATCGTCTCGATAATAGCATGCAAAAGACAACGAGGATGAAATTTTCCAGTTCAAAATCCAAGGATACACATTGTATATATGCTGATACGAGTTGCCGTGGCCCATGAGCAACTTGGAGGGGAGCCTTATGCAAAAAAACTGATGATCATTCATATGAGAAAATGAACACAACACATCATAATCAGAGGTTTCATCGAAGGTTTCAAGCCACTTTACTATCAGGTTGCATACACTTCTTCAGAAACTCCCTCACGTCCCATGTTGAACGTTGACCGGTGACCCCTCATACTCTGCCAGCTGAATACAAATTCTCCCAAACCAGAGAATTTTCAGAATGTGGCCTGAGCCGATCCACGAGCTTCCACGAGTTTGAGTTCTTGAGATGCTTGGCAAATGATGATCCGCTGGATGAAGGAGATTGATCAGTGATGGGAGGGAAGAGTACATTGAAGTTCCCTGTTAATCAGCCTGGACACATCTCGAGTAAAACACACCAGCATATAATGAATTTTTACCTGCAAATTTCTTTACTCTGGTAGATCTTGAATACAACTGTACTAAAAAATCAGGACGGCATAGCTGGAAGACATGGTTAACCGTAGTGAACCAGGATTTGTGAGTTTTTTCCGGTTCGGATTCGGAGTGCCTTATATGTTGCAGTAAGCAAAGACGCGACTCATGAGAGTGATTTGAAGGGGAGTAAAAAACTCGAAAACGATGGCACAAATATGTATTGTATGTTTGTTTGCCTTCATCGAATAAAAGTACGAAAACGTTACATTGTTATCCAGCAAGGTCCAACCAGGACTCGAACCTGGGTCACGGGAAATGCAAGATGTGATATACCCATCAGAATCCCGTGTGATAACCTCTACACTATTGGACCATATTAAGTCGCTAACTTATCATTACTATATTCTTCTTTTGCTTCATTCACCACATCCTTCACGCCAACTTGATCTTAACTCCTACCAACATGTCAGATATCGAAGACCACGACGACGACAGACACGACGATGATGGGGAACACCCCTCACCTCCACGTCGGAAGCTTTATGACGACGACGAAGATGACGAGGAAGGGGAGGAGGAGGAGGAGGAGGAGGACGAAGAGGAGGACGAACCGTCTACCAAGCCCAGCACAACGAAACACCGACACAAAAAACCCCGGACAGGACTCTCCCGTTTCCTGGATATCGAAGCTGAAGTTTCTTCTGAAGACGAAGAGGACGGCGAGGGAGCAGAAAGTGATTCAGCCATCGACGGGTTCATCAGCAAGGAAAACGACGGAGTTTATGGCGTTGGAGATGATTTAGATATCGACGACAGGCATCACCACGCTCGAGTAGACTATAAACGGCGACAAGCTGAGCGATCTGCTGAAGAAATTGCTCGTGAGCTCTCTGACCGTTACTCTGGACGGGGAATAGGTGGTCGTCGATTCACTGGTGAACTTTCTGAAATTCCGCAACGTCTTCTTATGCCTTCCGTACACGACGCATCTCTCTGGCAAGTCCGTGTAAAACCAGGTCGGGAACGAGAAATCGTATTTTCATTAATGCGTAAAAGTCTCGATCTAGAATATACAGCAAAACCCATGTCTATTTTGTCCGCCTTCCAACGTGATTCTCTACCTGGGATGATCTATGTCGAAGCAAAATCCTCACAACAAGTCGCTCAAGCCTGTGCCGGGTTAGTAGGTGTATACCCTTCTAGAGGAATCCACCTCGTTCCCATTGACGAGATGTCCTTGCTACTATTAATCAAAAAGGTGGACGCAGGTGAAAAAATCATTCCAGGAACTTGGGTGAGATTGAAAAGAGGGAAATACGCTGGGGATTTAGCTCAGGTCGTGGATGTTACGGAGAATGGTGATGAAGTCGGTGTCCGATTCGTTCCACGTATTGATTTAAACCCACGCGAAGACGAGCGTGGTTTGGGTCGAAAGCGTAAAAAAGGCAATGATCCCACTTCCAACAATAACCCTTCCGCTCGTCCTCCCCAACGTCTCTTCAATTACGAAGAAGTCTTGAAAGTCTACGGCCGCACCGCTGTCTCCAAACGAGGCCAAGTCTATGTCTTTTTCCAGGACACTTACAAAGACGGGTTTATCGAGAAGGACGTGAAACTAAACTCTATCATCCTCGAGGACGTCAACCCTACCTTGGATGAAATCACCATGTTCAACTCGAACAATCCTTTAGAAGAGAGCCTGGTGGACCTCAGCATCATTGCCGAAGCATCCCGCAAAGCCGCTTTAGCCGTTCTACAACCTGGGGACCACATCGAGGTCTTCCAAGGCGAACAATCTGGCGTACACGGAATCGTGCAAGAAATCCAAGGCGAGACTCTCACTATCACCGCACTCGGTTTAGATCTGGAAGGGCAAAAGATTGATCTCCCTGCAAGGTCTGTAAGGAAACGATTTAAACCTGGAGACCACGTTAAAGTGATGCAAGGGAAGAACGCTGGAGAGACCGGGTTGGTTGTTGCTGTTTCGGATACTGGGTCTACTCCATCGACGTCGAATGTGAATGCGAATTCAGAAAACGGCGAAAAGAGAAGAGAGAATACGGTGGTTACGTTCATTTCGGATATGACAATGCAAGAAGTGTCGGTATTTTCAAAAGATCTTCGAGAGGCTGCAGAGGTGGGTAATACAACCAACATTGTTGGTGAATACGAATTACATGATCTAGTACAACTTGAGTACGTCCTCAATCTCCTCTCCCAAACCCATTTTAAACCCCCTTCACAGCCCCCAGACAATCGGCGTCATCTATTCAACCTCCCGTTCCTCCTTCCTCGTTCTAACTCAGCACTCACAATCCCGACTCGTCCACCCCCACCAAATCCTCCAATCCCTCCGGCCAAAACCCAATTCAGTAATCGCAACCGACAAAAACAGCCACGAAATCCGACTCGGCGATACAATGCAAGAAACTGAAAACGAGCATCGGACAGGGAGAGTGCTACATATCTACCAATCGCATTTTGCATTCTTGTTTAACAGGGACGTAGCCGAACATGGTGGGGTTTTCGTTACTCGTGCGAGGAGTTTGGTGTCAGTGTCGCCGAAGGGGGGTGTAATTACACCTGGTGGTGCAAGTTCAAAAAAACCGACTTCTGATCTAACGAAAATGAACCCCCTCTCAGCTGGTGGCGCTTCCGGCGGCGGTGGCTTCGTTGGCTCAACAATTGGACGGGGACCCCGCGACAGGCTCATCGGGGCACACGTCGTAGTAATCAAAGGGCCACACAAAGGATACGTCGGGATTGTCAAAGACACTAACGGGGTCGGGTTATCTGGCGTAGCGAGGGTAGAGCTGAACACAGGGAACAAGGTAATCAGTATTGAAAAGGGGAAATTGCATAGGAAGTTGCCGGATGGGAGGACTGAACCCGTCGAGGGGCCTGGTGCGACTTGGGGGAGAAATGGTGGTGGTGGTGGTGGTGACAACAATTTCAATTTGCCAATGGGTGGACGTACACCTGGGTGGGGTGCTTCTGGTGGTGGCGGTGGGCGAACTCCCGGCTCTGGGGGTCGTACACCAAGCTGGGGAATAGGAGCAGGCCGAACACCCAACCCCTACGCCACTGGAGGACATCAAACTCCTGCATGGAACGTTAGTTCTAAAACGCCCAACCCGTACGCTGGGGGAGGTGGTGGACAGACACCTGCTTGGAGTGCAGGGAGTAAGACTCCTAATCCGTATGCTGCGTCTGCTGCTGCTGCTTCGAGGGGTGGTGGGAGGACGCCAAACCCTTATGCTTCCGGAGGAGGTGCTACACCGGGGCGAAACGCGTGGGGTGGTAAAGACAGTTGGGGATCCCCAATTCCAGCTGATAGTGGAAGCGGGATTGGTGGATGGGGTGCTGAGATTCCTGCTAGCACTTGGGCCGCACAGAACGCCCCTACTCCCGCATTCGCTTCAACACCCGGCTTCGCACCAACCCCCGCTATCCCCTCAACTCCAGGAGGCAACCTCAGCAGTACCAATACACCCTACTCCTCCATTAACCCTCAATACAGCCAATATTCCAACAACAGTAATGCTTATGCATCCTACGGTGCTTATGCCGCTCCGACACCCGGTATGTTACCCACTGCAATTGGAAGAAGAGCCAATGAAGGTCCTGGTGAATACACCCCACCCCCAGACTGGCTACTCGCCCAACACTTAACCCCACACCTAACGTCTCTCCGGGTCAATATCTCCGGAACCAAACTGCCTCATCAACCCTACCTCGACGGTCTATACGAATCTCTCGACGCACATATCCTCGCTGCTTCCCGTGTAGCAGATAATTACGAACAAACAGCGTTGGTTAAAGTCGATTTGGAGAAATCTAGCGCTGTTACTTCAGCTCAACTTGCCGCTCTTTCTTCCACCCCAGCAGATCGTTCAATCCCAAGTAAATTCCTCCTCCCCGTTCCCCCTTCATCACAAGACGATACCGCTATCGTGCTCACTGGTCCACGGCAGGGCGATAAAGTCAAACTAAGACAACGTCCAGATTCCGGGAGCCCGACTGAGCTCGTTGTTGTTGAGAGTGTTGATGCAGGTGGTAATGCGAGTGGGACTAACGGGACCGAAGGAGGCGCCTTTTGGGAATGCCAAAAAGATTGGATGTGTGTATGTTGGTAATGAACTCACCCTACATTGTATCGCAGTGTCACAGGACAGTAGGGTTTCCTAAGCATCAGATGTAGTTTTATGCATTATTTTCTTGTCTCCCCCCCTTTGCTCCTAATATTATCTCCATTTCGCAGCTAATGTGCAAGTGAAGGCATACTCTTTGTCCTGGATGTCTGTGAAGTCAACTTGCTTCACATCTTGGTCTGTTAGATAGATAGATAGATACACGGCTCCACCTGAAAGTGTGGCGGCTATTAAAATGACATGAAAAGAGAATGTGGAAAGACTCAAGGAGAACCTATTAATACCATTTGACAATCTTACACTGTAAACCAATGCCAAACAAAAAATATGTTCAAACATTATGTTGAGTACTAGACTGCTTATAAGCATAGCATTAAGCCAGAAAGAACATTGTGCAAAATTAAGTACATTCAATTGCAGTCTCATTAGTTAGGGGTTATGACATTGGCAACTGGGACATGCTACTGGTGCATGTGCACTCCGCATTGTAGTAGCATCATTCACACAATTCCCTGCTGGGCTAATATTGCAGGTACCTCCCCCATCTCTGCACTGCTTTGCATCACAGTAGCTGTACCCTTGAGCTGCCACAAAGATGCAATCACTAGGTGAAAGTCTCTTGGTGAGTTCAGGTGATCTCCTGTCTTGGTGATTTCCCTGTGCTGGAATAACAAATCCAGAAACCAGCATAAGGTTGGCACTGCTGAGGAACATGATGAAGGGTACTGAAATTTGCATTGCACCAGTGTTCCTGTCTGTCATGACTCATAGTAAGCTTGAACGTTATTGAACACAGTTGTTGCTCATCATAAGGCATACCAAATATGTGCTTGTCAAGGATGAATGAGTAAAAATGAAAATAATGAGCTTGGGCAATGTCTCCAAATCGACCCGCACTGGAAACAGAGAGAGATCAATGCAAGGAAAGGCTAAAAGCAAAGGCTAAACATACAATTTGAAGTAAAGAGAAGAGAGCCAGTCTGAGGGACTTGCGTTGAAAAGCTCATTTTAAATACCAAACTCATTGCCAATTCTGGATCCTTGAAGGTGTAATTAGGACACGCCTTCAAGGGCAAGACGGGCACATAAGTTTCCGACCAGACCGATCTCAATTCCTTGCAATGGGTTGCAATATGATAATATATGTAATGGTCTATATTAATTTCATCCACACTGGCATGGAACTTATAGCTCATGCAACTAGTCAGAGCGGAAGCTATGA